GGCAAGGAGGAGCAGCAAGCGAGGGACGGGACGGACACCGCCGACGGACGGGGGCCCCCAGTTCCCTTGGCATCGCTCGGACGTGTGCATTTTTCTTTCGGCGAGGACCATCGAGGAACATCCTTGATCATTTGGCGAAAAATCCACGCACGAAACCGAAAAAAGCACAGGGAATGGACGTCCGAGCGATGGCCAGGTTCCGCGTCCACTGTGAAGTTCAGCTGCGCGCGAGAGTGACCTCCCGCCAGAGTCACCTCTGGTGCGGGCACCCGGGGGCCCCCAGATGGCTGAGATCAGGAGGGAAAGAAACACACGGACCAAAAATAAATCGGCCACTCCCAGGAAAATGCGCAAAAATAGGGGAAGTGGGGGGGGGGAAAGACAAAAACCCAACACATAATATGGGAAAATATGGGGAATCTTTTTATTTGTGTGTATTTATCTGTGTGTCCTGGGGCCCCCAGATGGCTGAGAGCGATGCGATGGCAGCGGCTCGCGCGCTCGGGCGCGGCCTCCCCCCCGCCGCCCCCGGAGGCCGCGCGCCGAAGGGCCGGTCTCGCCTGGGGGGTCGCTCCTGTGGTCGGTCGGTGGCCTGCAGCCCAGAACGCTTGCTGGGAAGCAAGCTGTCCTTACTCCTCCTCCTCCTCCTCCTCCTCCTCCTCCTCCTCCTCCTCCTCCTCCTCCTCCGGGCCTCGCGTTCGAGGATCGGAGGGAGCAGGCATCCCTTCCCCGGCGGGAGGCGGCCGAAGAGGGGCGGCAGCAGGCGAAAGCCAAGCGAGGCCGCCTCCGCGGGCAGAAAAACCCGCGGAAGCCGGGGCTCAGGTTCGACCCGTCGAGATCCACATCCCAAAGATTGCAAGCAAGACAAGGGAAGTGTATGGGCCTCATGGGTCACGGTGCGAGCCAGGAGTCCGCACAAACCGATGCGGTGGGTATGTTGTGGTATGGGCAGCACACCATCTCCCATGGTCGTCCTTCGCCCTGAGTGTTCTCTGAGCCCAAACCTCCTCGAGTCATGGCAAGAATCACGACTAGAGGTTGCGGGGACAGGGTCGGGACTTTCAGGGACCGCGCATTGAAACAGTCAAGACGTCGCATGTCTGGGTGTGCATCCTTCTCCCATGAGCGTCCTCTAAGCATGCCCCCACATGCAACGAGCAACGACCACCCCTGGGCGCGAGAGCGATGCCCTGCTGCATCAACGGACAGTGGACAGTGCACCCCCAGCAGACCAGTGGGCCTGAAGGCGGGGGATCCAACAGAGCGCCGGCCAATACGATCGAGAACAGCGCCGGATTGCCCTAGAAGAGCTCCGGACGGGAGAAAGCCTCGTCTCCTCCTCCTCCTCCTCCTCCTCCTCCACCTCCTCCTCCCCCTCATCCGCCTCCCTCTTCTCCCTCCCTCTTCTACCTCCTCCATCTCGGCGAAGAAGGAACCACAGCGGGCCTCGGGAGGAAGCCTCGTCTCCTCCTCCTCCTCCTCCTCCTCCACCTCCTCCTCCTCGTCCTCCTCCTCCTCCTCCTCTCCTCCTCCCTCCTCCTCCTCCTCCTCCTCCGCCTCCTCCTCCTCCTCCTCTCTCCTCCTCCTCCTCCTCCTCCTCCTCCTCTCCTCCTCTTCCTCCTCCTCCTCCTCCTCCTCCTCCTCCTCCTCCTCCTCCTCCTCCTCATCCTCCCTCCCCTCCTCCTCCTCCTCTCCCTCCCTCTTCCTCCTCCTCCCTCTCGACGACGAAGAAGCAGCAGCCGCAGCGGGCCGAGGACCGCCTCGACTACTGGGCCGCGGCCGAGGACCGGGCGGCCGGCAGCACGGCCACCGGCAGCCTCCCGGCGGAGGTGGTGGCGGAGCTCCGCGCGGAGGAGCGGCCGACCGCGAACGCGAGGGAAGGAGGGGGAGAAGGAGGAGAAGGAGGAGAAGGAGAAGGAAGGAGGAGGAGGAGGAGGAGGAGGAGGAGAGGAGGAGGAGGAGGAGGAGGAGGGGGAGGAGGAGGAGAAGGAGGAGGAGAGGGAGGAGGAGGAGAAGAAGAGGAGGAGGAGAAGGAGGAGGAGGAGGAGGTGGAGAAGAGGAGGGAGAAGGAGGAGGAGGAGGAGAAGGAGGAGGAGAGAAGAGAAGGAGGAGGAGGAGAAGGAGGAGGATGAGGAGGAGGAGGGGGAGAAGGAGGAGGAGGAGGAGGAGGAGGAGGAGAAGGATGAGGAGGAGGAGGAGGAGGAGGAGGAGGAGGAGGAGGAGGAGGAGGAGGAGGAGGAGGAGGAGGAGGAGGAGGAGGAGGAGGAGGAGGGGGGGTGTTGGAGGAGCAGTTGCAGCAGGAAGCAGGCAGCAGCGGAGCTCCGCGTGAAGGAGCGGCCGATCGAGGGGTCGCGTCGGGCGAACACGCGACGGACGACGACGACGCGGACGACGACGCCGACGCCGACGCCGACGCCGACGCTGACGCCGACGCCGACGCCGACGCCGACGCCGACGCGGACGACGACGACGCCGACGACGCCGACGCCGGCGCCGACGATGCCGATGCCGACGCCGACGCCGGCGACGCGGACGACGACGCCGACGCCGACGCCGACGCCGACGCTGACGCCGACGCCGACGCCGACGCCGACGCCGACGCGGACGACGACGACGCCGACGACGCCGACGCCGGCGCCGACGATGCCGATGCCGACGCCGACGCCGGCGACGCGGACGACGACGCCGACGCCGACGCCGACGCCGACGCTGACGCCGACGCCGACGCCGACGCCGACGCCGACGCGGACGACGACGACGCCGACGCCGACGCCGACGCCGAGGGAAACGGGAGCGGCCGATCGAGTTCCGGATCGGACGACGAGTGGGGGGACTGGGCGATCGATATCTGATGCGTGCCCCTGCTCACGCCCAGGCCCCACGAGGATCCAGACCCTGGATGCAGCGGCGAGCGAGGGGGGAGGTTTCGGGTTCGAGGTTCGGGGCTGTCGGACGTTTTCGTTGGTTCTCGGCGGTTTTCCAGCCTCGGGATCCTTGCTGACAGCTGCGCCTCGCCGAGGGCATTCTGGGGTTGCCTCGATCGTCCCAAACGCCCGCCGGAGACCCGAGCTATGACCCAAAAGGACCTCTTCGAGGCTTCTTGGGCCGTCTTGGGGGCCTCTTGGAGGCCTCTGGGGCCACTTGGGCCGTCTTAGGTGTTTCTTGTGCGAGCTTGGAGGCATCCTGGACTGTCTTGAGCCGTCTTCGAGGGCATCTTGGATCATCTTGGGCGAACTTGAAGGCCATCTTGGGCCATCGTGGCCATCTTGAAGACCATCTTGGAGCCGTCTGGAGCCGAAAAGCCCTTTGCAGCCACCTTTTGGGCATCTCTGCGCGCCCTTCCGGGTGGCTGGCGGGACGGGCCGAAGCCCCAGGGGGAGTCCTAAAAGAACCAAAAGCGAAAGCACCCAGCACGCCGGGAACCCCTGTGGCAAGCCAACAGGGGGCGGCGGATCGTGTGACCGTTGGCCCGTCCCGCCGCCGTGCCCGGATTAGGTCCGAGTCCCCTTGGATGCCTGTCTTGGGAGGCCTCTCGGAGGCCTGCCTTTGGGAGGCGGGTTTGGAGGACGTCTTGGGGCCTCTCGGGGGCACCTTGGGGTTTCTTGGGGCTTCATTTGGGCTTGCCGGCGGTCTCGGGGGTCATCTTGGAGCGGAGTGCGTGAAATGTCAGTTATAATTCCCCCGTTTGGGCCCCTCTACGGGGCCTCTTGGGCTGTTTGGGGACCTTTCTGGGCCGTCTGGTGGCCCTCTTGGGCGTCTCTTGGACCGTCTTGGGACGATTTTGGGGACCTCTTGGGCCGTCTTGGAGCGTCGTCATTCCGAAAAGGCGAGACGCGAACATATTTTGAAAGCTACATGTGTGTGTGGGGGGGGCATCTTGGGCGGATCTTGGAGCCCTCTTGGGGCATTTTGGCTGCCTTTCGGACCGTCTGCACACGGCTGATCTCCAATTCCTGGAGTCAATGGCGAGAGGTTGGCCGAAGGCGACACGTCAACGTCTTCAACAAGTCCCCATCGCCCCCTCCCTTACCGGCCCCTGGTGGGAATAGAACTTCATGAAGGTGAACCCCATGAACGAGCAAACCGGTATGCCTTCTCTGGCATTTTCGCGAGTGTCCAGCGGCTGTATGGGCCTTTGACAAGCTGGCAGGGGGACTCCCCCCAACAGGGCTTCGGACCGCCTGGCACGGGGGAAAGGGGGGAGGGAGACATCCGAACGTCCCACACGCCTTTTCACCCCTGGAGTTCGGGGTTCGGCGGACTCCTTTCCGACTAGCCAGACTGGCTGCGATCCGACGCAGGCATGTTCCGTGGCGTGTTCCACGTGTTTTCAAGAAATTGCGCTCTGCATATGAGCTCTACCCATTCGGTGCGAGGCCGTATCCGGTTCCAGTAGTGTCCATTGGATGTTCGTTTTTCGGTTGTTGCTAGAAGTCCCCCTAGCCCAAGCTACCCCCAGGATTCTCGGGGTGGCCCAGACGGCCTCCAGGGCACCCCTCACGAGGCCCAGAGGGCCCCAGGGGCTCCAAAAATGGAGCGAAAAGCCGGGGGCACCTTGGGCCGGGGGCACTTCTGGCCACTCCCGAGCTGTTCCTTGGATACCACTGGGGACGAAACCACGTCGTGGTTGGATGTTGCTGGAGACCGGACATTGTGGAACAACTGGGAGAAGGATTACCTTGCGCATGCGCACATCTCACCGGGCCTCGGCCCGCCCGTGCCGCTCCTATAAGGGGCCCGCCTGCCGGCGGACACGCGCGTCTCGTCTCGTCTCGTCTCACGCCCACCAGATCCGCCCGTGCCCTGCGATGCGGAACCGAGCCTGGCCGGGGCGCTGCCTCCTGCAAGCCGCGCGCTCCGGCGGTCGTGCGCCGCCCGGCGCGAGGCAGCACGGGGCCGGGCCGCACGTGCGCGCTCGCGGCTCGCAAGCACGAGGCGCCCGTCGTCGTACCGGAGGCAGGTGCACGTGCAGGATGCAGTGCGCAAGCTGTTCATGTCTAGTTCTTCGAGGAGTCCTTGGGGGGCCGAGATCCCGTCGTTCCTCATTGCTCCATCCTGGGCCTCTTCCTGGCCACTAGGGGGCCAGGAAGAGTTAGAAACGAGCCGAACAGAAGTGAGCACGATAAGACATGAAGGACGTGTATACATCTTCCCGCGTATGATTATTCATATCTATATCGTGGTGTGCGAATGCGTACCTGTTGCCAGAGTTTCTGCGCGCGCACTTGCCGCATTCTTGAGGCGCGGGTTTGCATTGCAAGTGGCTGTTGCCCAGCTGCTTGATGACTTCGACGCTGGAGGGGGCAGCGTCGAAGGTGGTGCCGCCATGGAGGGAGAGGTCGGGAGACGGTGAGCTTCGCAGAGAGGCTCTCAGCCCATGCTGAGCTAAGACCAGCCGGCGCAGTCCAAGCAATGCCATGCGCCAGCGCCGACCACACGGCACCCTGCCCCGCAGCGCCCGCCCGGCGCCCGCGCGCGTGCAGGACTGGGGCTTCTCCCTGCTCGTTCAGGGCGAGCCGGCCCAGAAGCCGCTGGAGCTCCACTCCACCGGCCGCGAGAACCACCGCATGTGGCTGTCAGGGGCAATGTGTGTGGGGGATACGTTGGAGTCGGCTGGGGGTCTGAGGTGGCCCAGCGTTAGTTCTGGCCAGCAGGTGGGGGGGTGGGGGTGGGGGGGGGGGGGGCGAGCTTCGAGGTTCTGGCTTCGAGGGGGTTTCTTGCCATTCTCGGTCTCCGGGGGCCGCTGTCGGGCCCCTGGGCCGCCCAACGCGGATCCGGGGCGAACGCTTGCACAGAATGGTCCCCGGGAGGGGTGCCGAGGACCGATTCTCAGCGGTCTCGGTCTCGGCGTCATCCCCGCCCCCCCCTCCACGGCAAGGGGCCCATGCAGCTCAGGCCCCCCCCTGCCGCCTCTCCCAGGGATGCGGCCAGGAGCTGCGGCCGAGCGCGTCGCGGCGCCGGTTCTGGCCCGCCACGCTTCGGCGCGACACGTTGTCCCGGCCCCTGTCCCCGAGCGTCAGCGCTCCGAGCATGTCCGAGCATGTCCCCGAGCAGCGCTCCGCTCCTGCTCCGAGCGGCAGGGCATCCGCCTGGCCGCCGCCGCGGCCCGCTAAGCAAGAGCTCCCCACCGTAGGCTCAGGGTGGGATTCGACCACGCGTGTCGGCCACGCGCAGGGGGGGGGGTAGGAGGAGGGGGGGAGGCGCCTTAGAAGCACCCCTGCTTCTCAGAAGGCGCGGGCCTTGTGTGTAGATGTCGGGCCGGCGCCTTCTGAGAGGCAGCCTCCTTCCAAGGAGCCTTCCCCCTCCCCCTCCCCCCTTTACGCGCGCCGCTGGTAGTGACCTCTGGTGCGGGCCCACGTGGGTCCCCCGAGCACTGGGCACGATGCGACGGCACAGGCCTGCGCGCTCGGGCTTGGCCCCCTCGCGCGCCCCCCCAAGAGCCGCGCACCGAAGCTCACGCTTGCCCAGGGCCACGTCTTTCGCGCCGCCGAGGGACGCATCGATCCCCCATCGCCCACTGATCGCCGATAGGAAGGAGGGACAAAAAACACACAGACACAATGAATCGACGACTCCCAGGAAAATATGGGAAAATATGGGAAGTGGGGGGGAAGACGAAAGACCCAGAAAATATGGGAAAGTATGGGGAATCCTTCAGATAGGGGGCCCGATGGCCCACCCCGCCCAGGGACATGCTGATTCGCTATCGACAGCCTGGCGCCGATCTGCATCGGCGACGCGTCGCCGAGCCCAGGTCGATGTTTCCTCCCCTGGGCCGGACCCCCCCCCCGCGGCGCTCCTCCTCAGGCTGGACGCGATGCAGCGCTGGAAGTGGGGGAAGCAGGAGCCCTGCCCACATGCCGCCTCATCCGCTCCCCGCCCCATGCCTCAGAGGAGGAAGAGAGGTCGATATCGTTATCGGGGGCGGGCAAGAGGGGGGCGATGACTTAGGGGGGTTGGACATCATGGCTGGGGCGGTGATGCGTGCCCAGATTTCATGGCCCCCTCCTCTTGTTTCATTGCTTCCCTTGCCCCCGCCCCCTCTTCCGCGCGCATGGCTGCGGCCATGGTCTGCTCCCCCCCCCTCTCGGACACCCCTCTGTTGGACGCCCCCGACGCTACCTTCCCTTCCCGCGCCGCCACGGCTGGATCGCCTCGAAATCCTGGTCCGGATGCGGTCGGTGCCTCTCGGTCCCGTGGGCACCCCGGCGGCCCAGACCTCCCGAGGGCAACAGGCCAACCAGTGCCGAGCCGTCATGGCCAGGGGCCACGCAGGTGTGTTCGGCAGGCACGGTGGTACTACTACTACTACTACTACTACTACTACTACTACTACTACTACTACTACTACTACTACTACTACTACTACTACTACTACTACTACTACGACTCTACTACTACTACGACTACTACGACTACTACTACTACTACTACTACTACTACTACTACTACTACTACTACTACTACTACTACTACTACTACTACTACTACTACGACTAC